ATAATTTGACTTTGCAAAGTACACAATCACGCACAGCTGCAACCATAAGTGATGAACGTTACATGTAGAAATTCAAATTTGAGTGAAATAGACATACAGATCTCACGAACTATTTCGAAATCCAATCAACTTTTTGACGTTTTGACTAGTTATTTCAACAATTGAATTGCTGAATTCAGAAATATTTTATCAATTCATGTTAGTATCATTCTTTCAAATCATAGTTCATTTTGTTTTAAATTAAACGTCTAATGCTATTCAACCGTTGATAAATCCTCGCTTGCTCATTTGCTTCAGTCAAGGCTGTCGTAGTATTTCGATAATAATGGACTAAAGATTAAAATATGAGTGAGGGTGTAAATTTGACTCTTCTATTGTTCATACCGACACATACACACTCCCGTCTTCCTTCTCCTATCTTGGCCGTGTCACTACTCATACTGCACATTTTGACAACGAATAAAGCTGCTCGATCGAGAGAATCTGTATTAGCAAGACAACAAATCACAGAAAAATCATAAAGGCACATAATTGTGAACACACAACATAAAAATTATATTGATTCGCTGAAATGGACGATATAGTTTGATTTATCAGTAGAATTCAATGGCCATCGTATTCCAACTTCAAAGGTTATTGATTATTTGGATCTTTTACTTGTTCATGCTGGCTTGGCGGATATTGCGTTTATGAGGATGCTAGAGAAACTATCTTTCGTTATGGTCCAAATCTAGAATATTTCTTCTCCTACCTGTTGATTATGGTAGTGGCACTCGTTCTCCATGAGAATACTTGATTTTATGATCTGTCTCGTTTTTGTATACACAGCTTTGCTGATTCCGACATGGAACAAGATAATCGGATAAATCGGAATGACGGTACTGGGCACGATGAATCGGATCTCCTCGTTTATTACATGTTGTATTGTACTTGCATTTGGGTACTGAATGCTGAATATGCTCAAGATGGGGGTGATCAGGCATATTTCGACATATTTCAGAAAAGCGACAAGGATGAGAGTATTTTTCATTGTGCTCTTTGACTGAGTATTGCAATAGACAGCTGACAGAATCAGAACATGGCTTTCGTATTGATGTCTCACTACTGAAGATGTGTTTTACTTGGTTCCAGATTGATTTTGGTGGCGATTGTTCCTTCGCTGGATTGAAATGTGAAGCGACAACTGGAATATTTTCTAACGTTGATGGCACTGCTGTATTGTCACTTTTGAATGTTTTATCAAAAGATGGATGATATTCTGGAATAGGCTGATGTCTAATGACTAAGTTTCGTACTGGCACTATCCGAGCACCCGCACTAATATAAATATAATCAAGCTTGGACAAGTCAAGTTCAGATTGCTCGAATACATAGTTAATTGTCTGATGATTATAAATGCTGTTCGACCCAGCATGTGTCAATATGACCTCTTTACTTTTTAATTTAATAATGAGAGTAAGTAATGTAGTCATCAGTGTTACAACCACGATGGAATGAATTTGACATAGCTTTCATAAGTTTATGATCTTGCATGATCATATCGTGATAATATGGACGAAAATTAGTAACATACGAATACGATTCGTGATAGGTAACATCATTATGGGTGAGAGGGGTGTCGGCAATATAGCATGTGAGACATTGTAGCCCGGTTTGTTCAGTAGTTGGATCGATGAATGCATTAGATACAGTCAGCATCATGTCACCACCCATTGCTTGCCAATAAATAAATGTTATATCACTTTCACCTTGTTGCTCTTGGTATTGACGATACGATTGTAAAATGGTCATAGGTATGGCAACTTGATGTTCAAACTTACTAGCAGGTAGCGTTATAAGGGTACCTTGAGGAGAATGGAAACTGCTACCAGTAATCATCTTCATGATTTCGTCGGTCACGTATTTTTGATAAGGGACACGAGTTGAGTCCAGTTGGTTCAGAGCGTTGAGATCAACTATGTGCGATGTAATGGTAAGGCGGTCATGGAAAGTTTTTTTTAGCTAGTTGCTGCGCAGATGGTGTCAACGAATGAAACACAGTTGTAGGCATATAAATGCGATCGATGTAGTCCAAAGGTATTAGTTGTGGTAAGTGCATTTCGAACACTTGATGAGAGTCGATAGTCACCCATCGGTGTTGAATATCTTTGAGATCGACATTCATTGTCTTTTTTTGTTGACCGGTCAGTGCCATCAACTCAATAGCAGCTGCCTCTTCGTAGCCTGGTACAGAACAATGCAGTTTGTTCCAATGAAATTGCTGGATTCGATCCATATCTGAACCTGGATCTTTGAGCCATGGTCTCATTTTATATGCATTGGTGCTAGCACCGAATGTAGTTGCTGCTTGAATCGAAAAGTTAGAGTCCGGATGGTACATGAGCTCACGCTTAAAAATGATAAAAATATCGCCATAATAATGTCCCAAATGGGGACCCATAATGCTAAAAACATGTTTGTTAGTGCCCAGTGCCTGATCGGGTGCGTGACCAATACCCAACGGATTTGAGTGTAGCTGGAGAGAAGCTTGTGCAATTTGTGTGGCATGTGTCCGAATAGTTGTAATTTCATCTGCTGTGAGAAGCAATTTCAGTTGTAATTCTTTCGTATTGGCCACAGATGTCTGTTGATCATGGTTTGGTGAGTGATGAACAGTGCCAGGAACATGCGGATTTGGAACTCCAGAAAATCGCCTCGGCAGAAGTAGGCTTTTCGGAGCAGCCTTGTCGAATTCGATTGCCACTAACGCTCGAATAAAATCTCTACCGTGATTTTGCAACGCTTGGTTGCTGTGGTGATCGAGTATTCGTCGGACTTCATTATGCTGTTCGATAGCATTAGCCACAAATTGTGCTTCACTTAACAAATTCATATAATCTCGGCTCATGGTATGACCATGGACAAGAATCGATTCGAAAATGACTTTGTTACATCGATGGATAGGCTGCAACGCAAGAATCCATTCGATGAGTTGTTGTGGGATGGCCATCTTCGGTTCTTTCCATTTTTCAGCTTCAGCATAGGCACGAACTGTGTTTATCATTGTATATTGATTGCGTACAAAGTTAACACGCTTATTGAGACCGAAATAGCGTACAACTCCGATATGATTGTAATTGCCAGCATGACGAAAGCGTATTAGGTGATCATGATTCGTTCGAGAGTAGCATTCAGACCCAGCATATTTACATAAGTATCGAATATCAGGTAATTTTGGATGGGTGAACGAATTGAGATGCTCTTCGTCGATCATTTTGGAGCACTTGTCCCAGTCAGGACACGTTTTTCGCGCAATGTGAATCGAAGTGTAAGAATGCAGCTTGGATGTATCTGTGCATTGTCGTCCGAATGGACAAACGTGTGAGAAGGTGATACAATGTTCTTCAACTTCTGGTCTGGTCTTTGCAGAAGGGTCCTTTTTTGCCTGCAAAAAGTCACTATAATACCGACATGAGAATGGTGTTGAAGGACACGGCTGATAGAATGGATGTAACTGATCGTTGAAGTGTTCTTGATCGTGAAAATTGACACAAAAGGTGCCAAATTCACAGGTGATCTTGCAATGACGATAAGAACGGCAATGTTCTGGGTCACGTTTAAGAAATAGCAAACATTTTATAGGGCCAGTTTTGCACCTCGGTAAATGACGATAATGAAACAAGTGATCTTTACTTGTGTCCAGACATTCACTATTAGCAGGACAAAACTCTGGATGTTCATATTGACGAGAATGCTTCTCGTCTGTAATATGTAGACATTCACCACCATGTTGACATTTTTTACGATGAATAAAGAAGCTCCGATGCATTCCGTCGGCGAGGAATTGTTCACATGCGCCATGTTGAGGACATAATGGTGGATGAGAGTATGCTTGACAATGCTGCACATCACCCAAATCATAACATTCGGCTCTATATTGGCATGGAGGCAAGCCAAATATGTATACGTCATCTATGATCATGTTTTCTTGATCTTTACCTGTGATTTTAAAGGGTCCACTGGCCATGCCAACACATAGTTCATGAGTTGTTGCATTCACACGAAATCCATCAAGTATGCGCTTGAATGGAAGATAGTTTCCATCAGGATTATGCTGGTTGCCCGTGTTGTGATCGTCAACAATAGCAAAATGAATTGTCTTGAAATAGCCAGCATATTGTTGGATAACTGATTTGAAGATTGAAGCCATATGAGTAGGTGGATTCTTGAATGCACCACAACCGAGAGCCGAGAGGATGAGGCAATCATGTTGGTGATGATAAGCCATGACGAAGAGAGATTCAATTTTCTTTCGCGTGCCCATTGCATTTTTGTCTGTGAGTAATCTTGTATCATTTCGTTTCCATTCTGGCTGTTTATAGGCGGCCAGAGCGATAGAACGAACATCATAAAGAGGCTGTTCGAGGTACGCATATCATGTGTCTTCTGTATTACGAAATACAGTAATGCCAGATGTATAAATTGCACCGAATTCATCCATTGGATACATGCTCTCATTAGCTCTCAGCATTTGTTCTTCACCCTTAGCTGTGCACCAATAGCGTTCAGGTTGTTTAGTGTCATCGAGTTCTGCGTCAAGACTAAGATAATAGTTAGATCGTCGAAATAGATTCTCTTCTTGCGCCCCAGCTCCTTGTCGGTACCCACCACCAGGTGTTGTTGCATTAGCCATATTGAGTAGCACTGGTCGACTTTTGTCTGCTGCTAATTTTTCATAAACAAGCAAACAATCATTGTTCACTACCTCCACTGTTGTAAATTGGTATGGAGATTTAAGAACAGATTTCATCCCTTTACTGAGTGGCAGTTTTGATCGATGATTGTAGGCTATGGTTTTCAACTGCTCAAACTTCAATTTGATCTCCTTTTTATTGCCGCCAGTTTCTACAGTATAACTTTTGTTATGAATCACACCGATCGTGTTGAGCATCGTTGTAACGCGTAGCAGATGCCTTTTTCGATCACTCTGTTGATCACGCACACCTTTAACACGTTCGAATTGTTCGAGCCAATGTTGAGCATTCCATTTGTATTTGAAGATGGGATGTTCCGGAGTAACCACGAATTGTTTGATGTCAGGTCTTTTTATGTCGAGCATTTCCATTTCGTACCAGTTGTCGGCATTTATCTCGATATTTTTTGGATCGTTTAGAATGACTGTAAATGGATCGATGGTCATCGCAGGACAGTCATGCACACGTAGTGCACCCACAGTTAAGCATTGATCATATACAGATTTATCATTGAGTTCGATAATGAGCTTTTCATCTATCTTTGTATGTTTAGTGACAGCATTTTGAAATTGCCTGTGTTGAGTGATGAGATTAATTGGGACAGAAGAAGACACCGGATGGACGACAACACGAAAAGCGAGTTGCGACTTTTTGGGAAAAACTTGACTGTTGAAAGACAGATAGTCTATATTTATCCACTTACGAGCTGCGTTGGCTGCTAGTATGATAGCACTCGATGCTTCCTTGTTATACTGAACATATAGTGTTTGTTGGTCGTACTGACCGCCAATATGTGTATTAATCGCCGTGGTAATCTGAGTGGTGGTGATATTCTCTGGTAGATCTTCGACAAAACTGCAGTCAGCTCGTAGGTAAACATTCGCAAATTGTTCATTCACTTTAAATATATCGAGTGTTCGTATAGCGAGAAGTTCATCGAGAGAGCGAGATGTTATTTTGAATATGTTTGGAAATAGTGCAGAAATTTGTTCACATGCCGGTAGCTGAGGCGATTTACTTAGTTGTGCCCAACGGCGAGCAACTTCGACGGCGATTTCTGTTTGTTTCTTTTTTTGATCAAAAACTAAATAGGAAACGAGTTCAAGTTGTCTAACGAACGAAATAATGATATTTTTCTTAGGATCAAGAACAGTCGATTGCACTGTATTTAGAAGAGCATCTTTCTCAGTGGTATTGGACACATATACAATGCCGACTCCGATGCTAGAATGACATGTGACTTTGTTGACTTTAATATGGTGATTGCTATTTAAACGTAAGTCGATCATTTGCTCCAACTCTGCAGCATTTATATCAGCCGGTAGATCAGGAGTGTAGACAACATATTTCAACACAGTTCCTATGATTGTCGATGTCGGCTGTGGAGTAGCCGGGAAAGACACTGGTTTTACGGAATCTGTATGCATTACTTGGCGGCGCCTTTCGGGGCGTGTTCCTTCATGACAGATTATACAACGCTTGTCATCATTTATATTGAAAAACGTACAAACTTGGCACTCCCATTCGGTAGGTAGCTGATCTGGACACTGCTGTACTTGTTCTGTCAGTTGGCGGGAGTTTATGTCGACTCTTGAAGGTGGCAGCGACGTCTCAAGACATTTGAGAGAAGCAGACGCTGATGTATACGAAGGTACAGATATTGACAAAGTAGGGACAGGCGGCTGCATCTGTTGACCACTGGGCGCATCAGCACGATAGCTTGAATCAGATACTGATTGATCGGTATTATATGCTAACGGCGTACGAGGCGTCTCACACACATCGCATAGGGTTGCATGAGGTGTATTAATCAATGTACATTTTTTACAAGCCCAACTAGTGAATGAAGAGTTTTCCTGCTCGTCGTGTCTTACCATCGATGTTACTGTTTTTGGTTTCATAAGCTAAATAAAGACAAAAGGGTGTAAGATTTGGCTATCTCTTGCCTAGTGCAATGGTGGTAAATAAAAAGGCATAGAATGCTTCTTTTCAATTTCAATATCATGTGGATTAATACCATCGATATTTGGTGCTTTAGATTGCTCTTTACAATGGAAGAACAATTTGTTGCGTTATTATTTACTGATCTGATTCAATTCTTGTACCCATCGATAATTTGAAAATGGTTATTTCAGCCCTATAAAATTTTGACAGATGAGATAAAAAGATCTTCTCTTGCTTATCGTGACCATTTTGTACGGTTGCGAGAAAATTTTCGCATCGAGATGCTCTATATTTGTTGATCTCTATTTTCCTGACTACCTGCGCTTAACCCCATTTTCTTTCTGTTGTATCTGTTGCATACTCATCTGTCCTTGTGTACTTGCCACATAATATATGACGAAGGAGAAGAACGGCATTTTTTTCTCTACCTTTTTTATCATGTTATGATAAATTTGAAGGCGCTGAGAAAAGCAATCTATTTTTTATACCACTAATCAGGCGACTAGCGCTTGTGTACTTTCACTCAAAAATCACCCAAGAGGACTAACACAACTTGGTAATTAGTCTGTTCTATGTGTAGAAAGAAACTGGTAGTCAGTTAGCCGATATAGAGACATTTTAGAGCAATCACCCAATGATCCATAACATTGAACAAAACAGTTTGACTTTACCTGTTGATCAAGTTTACGAAAGTCAAGTGAATTTGTCTCCTAGATATTGTCGATAGAGAAGCAGTAGTAGGCAGAAAGATAAAGTCGTTCGCCGCAATCTACTCCTTCACAGAGACATGTCTCGTGTCTGTGGCAAGAGTATCCCATTATTTCGCTGTCCCGTTGAAAGTAGCAGCCAAAGTTGTATCCTTGATGATAAGTGACATTAAATCATCGATAGCACGATCCTGAATATGAGGCCAGAAAATTCGTATTATTCTGGGATACAATTTTCATCGTATCTTACTGAATACGCCGATTAGTTATCAGCATAACATATGTTACGTGCCATTTCGTGCAGAATTTTAGAGCGAATCCATGATAAGCCCACCCAAACTGTATTAGAACTATCTACAGTAAGTAATTCAAAATAAGACTGATTATAGTAAGTCTTGAAGTGCATTAAGCACTCACTTCTTGTAGTCAAAAGATTACGGCTTTTGAATCTTTGTATGAGAATTTAGAGTAGTTATACTTTGATGATCCATTTTCATTTCTTTAAAAATTATACGTTGTCTGATGTATGTAAAACCTCTAATATTCTTACAATACTACAAATATTTTATACAGGTTGGGTCTCGTTTCGATAGTCTGTAAAAGTTTTACCGTAGGCTGTCAAAATAATGCGTGCATTTTTTACTGCAAATGCTATAAAACCTTTTGTTGAAAATCAATGATGCACTGTTTTTGGAGTTTTTATGAGTTGACGGAAATTAAGACTTACGTCATCTTTCTTTGTGTGATCTTTCAAAGTCGTTTTCGAGTCGCCAAATATTGAGACGAGCAATGTCATAGTGTCTTGGCAGAGTGGGCATCGTTGATTATCGGCTTCAACGCTCAATTTCAAACATTGAAGATGAAATGTATGCTGACACTTTGTTGTCACCAAAACCTCTTTGCTCAATGCATCGCAACAAATAGCACAAATTCTTTCTTCACAATCGTTGCTCATTTTGTAACTGGAAGGTCTATGTTTTCGTTATTGTATATTGACGTGGTGAGTAAAATAAATGCTGCTTTCGTCTTCTATGTGGTGTATATTGATATAAATAAAAAGCTTGATAAGATACATGTTGTATTTTTCTTTGATGATTAGGAACTTGCTGCTTTCGTCTTTTATGTGACGCATGTTGATAGAAGGAAAAAACTTGATAAGACGCATGTTGCATTTTCCCTCAATGGAATTTCCTGTTGAATCATGTCGGTAATCAAATAAAAAAGAAAAAGAAAAAGAAAGAGAAAGAGAAAGAGGCATTATACTTCGAAACCAGAGATGCCAACAGGCCACCTTTTCTCGGTCTGACTTGGCCTGTTACGACGAGGCCCGGCCAATTTGGTGTCTGGCCTGGTGGCTGGTCTTTCCGGCAGGCATACATCAAACCAAAAAAGTTATGTGTATTTTTATAACATATTCATTAGGTTGAATTTTGGCCATGATGTTGAGGATTAGTGTGATTATTTATTTATTTTCTTAATAGCAATAATATAAAAAGTTGTTAGTGCAATCCCTCTGGAATTAAAATATGAAACACGATGGAACTCCTTTGCTGAAACCTGTCTACCGCGGTCTGTGAGTCTTTGTAGCTTTTCTGTGACTGTCTGTAATCATATTTGCAGCCTTTCGGTCATGGTCTGTATTTCGATCTATTGAGTTGGTAGAGACCATCACAGGCAGTGAGAGTAGCTGTCTAATTCGAGTTCGAATATAAATGGAGAAAAGGAAAAGTTAAACTAAAGCTAAATCTATTCCTAGATTTAGTTTTCGTTTAACTTTCCGATATATGCGACATATGAATACATATATACCCTTCATCCGCACCCACACCCACCATTACTCCTTAGCCCCCATCAACTCACACCCACTCCATCTTAAACTAAATATAAAACTAAAACTAAATCTATTTCTGTCACTTATTTTCGAATTGATACCATGCATTTGGGTGTCCAGCTATATTCGAATTCGAACTAGGCATCTCATGAAATTTATGTCCATTATTTTACATTATCGGCTACATGGGTAATACAGAATTCAGCAGATAAAATCATTTCAAGTCAATTTTGAGCAGGCTAGACAGGCTGGCATCTCTGTTCGAAACAACAAATTTGTCCTTGAATAAATCGTCGATTACGTCTAACGTAATTATTTTATCAGACCATTCTTATTTGATCGGATCGGCTGCCAAAACAAGTCTTTGTTTAATAGAGTCGGATGTCGTTGACTGTGTGAGAGGGTGAAGATGAGCCGTACATGAAAACTCAACCACATCCACATTCTCACATCTTAGCCGTCTTCACCGATAGTAACATTCACGCATCCTATCAATCTTCACCTACACTGCCTTTTCCTACTCAAAATAGTAGTCGAAAACTGTTGTTTTATCATTCATTGCGTCTCGAATGAGTCTATATTTTTTCTCGATATCCCATTCGACAAATAAATGTTTTCTCCAAAAAATGAGCTATTTTGTTTTATTGCAGTGTCTGTTTGATAAAAGGCTGAAACTAGGTAGATGATGTGACATATGGAAACCTTGTGATATCGCTAGTTTCTCTTCTGATACACAACCTATTTCAAGTTTAAACCCATTACTAAAAATAGAACGAGAAACGGTTGTGTAACAACAATTCTATCGTAGAAATGTAACCAAGTTTGTTCTCGGGTCGTCACTCAGATGGGTTCCGAAGAAGATTTATCAACAGAAAATGAACGCATCTTAGGTCGCATTGCTAAGGCTAAAGTAAATTTGATAATGGCATTTTTATTATGTACATATAATTTTTTTTGTAACAGTATCATACAGATTTTTATATTCTTTATAAGTATCCATTCGCTGTAAGACCATTTTATACAATGTCTGATCCAGATAATCCTGTAAGTATAGTATATGTCTCCTCTTTTTCTTAATTCAATTTGATAATTTCTCATGTTAGAAATATTCCAACAGTTATGGTATGTTCATGCGTGGTGAAGAAATTCTGTCGGGTGCTCAACGTATCCATGGTAAAGTTTTCTCCTTGTACAAGAATATTATGTTAACTTTCATTGAGCTTTTTCTTAGGTCCACAATTATTAATTCATCATGTAAAACATCATCAAATCAATGTTAATCAAATAAAATCATATATTGATGCATTTCGTTATGGTTGTCCACCGCATGCTGGCGGTGGCATTGGTTTAGAACGTGTAATTATGCTCTATTTAGGTTTGGGTAATGTACGAAAAACATCAATGTTCCCACGCGATCCGAAACGCGTCACGCCATAAGTAATCAAAAATCGAATTTCCTTCACTATTTTGATTATTTGTTGTCAATGGTTTGGGGCGAAAAGTAACTAATTTAAAATTTTGAAACTAAACAACGAATTCATATTACTAAAATGCCCATTAAAAATAGGACGTAAAAAAAGCGCCATGATTCTTTTTCCTACTAAAAGGATTCATGATACTGGGATGGTTCTGTTGACAAGAGAGTTTTGACATTCCAATAGTACATGAAGATATGGCAAGTTGGTAGGGCAACCATTTAGCGCTTGTATGATTACTTTTTTGTTTTGCTTTTGAATGGTATGATGAGATAAAGGTGCGTGACCAGACGTTGAGTATTTCCAGTATTTTATCTTTATTGAATAAACCAGCACTAGTATATGCGCTGATTATATGACACAATGAAGTCAAATATTGGTCAAAAATAAAAGATATATTCGTTGCAATTCATTCTGTCGGTGATGCAGTTCAGCAAATAACTTGGCCATGTGATAAAGGTTTTATTGAAGCCACAACAATATCATCATTAAGTCAAATCGAACCGTCATTCATGTGTACAAAATTATTGAAGGCAATAATTATGATGAAAAGAAAGTGATTCATGTTTTTTCTGCTTAAATTCGCTTTCCAATCTATGTTGGATACAGAATTTCATTCTCTATCGAATGGTATCCATTCTGCCAGTCCCACACACGTCGAAGATGATGCTTTGTACTAGCACGAAAAAAGCGCATCGTTATTTGAGTGGAAGTTGTCTTTTTGGATCTTCAATTAAACTAGGTGAGCATAATTAATGCATCCATGAAATGAATGGAAAGAATATGAGGAAATATATTAATAAAAGTACAATTGGAGAATTTCTAATGTGTTTTTCTTAATTGAAAATTAAGAGCGTTTTTTTTTGTCTTGGAAAATATCCTCCGTCGTCCTGAAAAACAGGAAGTGAGTCTAGCTAAAGAGCATATGTATACCCACACCTTATACGTTTCTATTTTTGGTCAGTCCTCTGTGCTACCACTGGCTTGTTTTTATTAATGCACAAAAGACGACAGATTTAGCCCACAATCGATACTAAATTAGAATCTTCAAAAATATCATTCTGTGCGCCCTCTGAAAAGCCCATAACTTCGTTGTAAGTTGGCATTTTAGGAACATTGAAGACATTATTGCCATCTTTTTGAAAATAATACACCATTTGTTTTGCTCCTTTTACACATTTTGAACGGTCATTTTCACAATAAACTGGAGGTTTAGCTATAGCAAGTTTTTTTGTGGAAGTCGATCCGGTGACCATACATTTATGACCTTGCATATACATATTCGGTTGTCCGCAGCCCATAGGAACCCATCTAACATCAGAGAAAAACAAATTTCGAAGCACTCTAAACAATGAAAATTTTCCTCACCCCCATGCACATGTACAACCGCCTGGAGGACAGGGAGGTAAATCTTTTGGCACATCGTATGATGTTACTCTTTGCCAGGGAGTTTTGTATCTTACAGTGAAGACAACCAAATTTTCCGGTGTCACTTTCTCGATGCTATTCTGATAGGAGATAGCAAAAACGGTTCCTGGTGCTAAATTTTGATTTGGTGTGTGCAAATTAGGATAGGAAACACAGCCCCCTGGGGTATATTCGAGTTCTTGTGGGCCACCAAAGTACCCGTTAAAATTTTTATTGTGGCCAAAAGTTGTGAAAGCACGATTAGTAGCTATTTCAACAGTGAACGAGCCTCCTGCTGGTAGTTCAAGGTAGTCACCATCGGCGGGTGGCTCTTTGTCGCATCCTTGATAATGTTGGAACCACCAGTCCTTCTGAGTCAGATCAACCAAAGGATTTACAGGTAAATTGTTGTTCATGTTGTTTTCAGCTCCACGTCCCTGAAAAGGAATATAAACTTGAGAAAGCAATACTAAGCATCACACTACGAACACGATAAAAAGCATTAACCGAAAAATATGGTGCTTCAATGACTTTTTTTCTATACGTACCTTCATACAGTACATGCCTTTGGACCAAGCTGCCATGTGAGCTGCATACAAAAAAGTATAAATTTTGTTTTAGATTTGAAGATGTAAGAAGAATTCCAATGTGAAGACATTAGCCTACCATTAGCAGTGGATACCAGGGCACATAAAAGTGCAGATACTAATAGGGATTTGAAAAGCATTTTTATTTTCTGTTGGAGCGTATTACTTTTACTTTAAATATTTGAATAAATATTTTCATGTTCCACTGTGAAAAAATGACAGATTGATAAGTGTGCTTTCTTTTAAATCCTGTTTATTTTCTTTTTGCCTTCTGTTTTCACTCCCAAAATACTAAAATTTAGATAAAAATTAAAAGAGTAAAAGCGTCGAAAATTGGAACGCCCGATTAAAAAAACGCAGATCTCTATATAGTTCTTTGCAAAAAATGATTCCAACAATACTCATCATTCTTTTAATTTGCAATATATATTAGTTGTAATTTCAAGCTCATATTTCGCAGGACTGCTTCTAACAAGATTCCTTACATATCCTATGATTAACTTGAAGATAATAAGAAAAACTAACCGTTAACATCTAATGCTTTTATGTTATTTATCGAAAGCTTTCTTGAAATTGTGCATGAATCGGATCTTACAGAATATTGAAAAATCACATATTCAACTGGGACCGACTACCCGATCTATCATATTAAGTGAGAAAAACAAACTTTTTCCACGTAGGATATACTGTACTTAGGATAAATAAATCACCCGCTGCTGTTAAGGAGTCACTATGGCTGAATAATCAAGATATTGTGTTTGAATCTTCATGTGATCATTCATCGAATAACCACGAGCAAGTTATTATATAACGATTGTTTGTCTAGGATCACTTGTCCGTTAGTTCAGTAAGTACCTTGTTAATATATACAAAAAAATATCTTGTGGCCACTATCCTATACTGCAAGGTAGTCGAGATCTAATTCCTCGAAATCCAGCTTGTCATTGCAAATACGATGCTGATCTAAATCATAACAAATGGAAAAATTCTTTATGATGAATAAATATAATAAATGACTTTCTTTGAAGAGGCATAAAAGTACAAAATAGATATTTATAAGATCACTTTACAGAATACTTCATGATATATGTTGATTGTACTATGTTTGACAATAATACTCGATTTCATTATTCGAATTACCATCGTAAAAATATTTAGATATATGCCTTTATTGACGTCGTAAAATAACTTAAGGGGTCGTACGATGTACTTTAGTAAATAAAAAAGCATTTCACACAAGAACGTTTCTTATTATAGTTGATAATGGTAATAAATCATTAGTGTCAAATGTGAAAATTGAGTTTTCAACTTTCTTTTCGTCGACAGTGTACTTTGTACTTTTAAGTTTCACGTTTCAAGACTGTACTTTGTACTTTCAAGTTTCACTTTTCAACTTAGTACGATATGATTTCTTATTAAAGTATCGACGGAAAGTCAATTAATTACCAGTTTTCGAGATATTGAATATATTCAATATACTACAAAAGTTAGAGCTATACGTGAGATTTTTTTCTCGACTCATTGCCACATCGACACGCAAATATGTCCTATAACTCTTCCGCTAATACTTAAATGAGCTCCTGTGTATATTTTTTATACGGTATGACATAGTTACGACTTAAAACTTGAATTCTACTGAGTTGTCAAGTTTCAAGGTTTCCACATATGATTGATCTATAAGTATCAAGAGCGAATGTGTACTAGGTTGATATAAGCTTTTCAAAACTCCTTTAATACTTAATGTCAACTTCAATTATTTCCCTGCGACAGGTCACTGAAAACCTTACACTTAATAAATTTATAATAAGTCCGTGGTAAGTACTATGACGTGTAATTAAGAATTGTGGAAACCGTGAGACCTGTTTTCCGTTTGTATTTCTCAGCTAGTTGAATTTTGTTAAAGATTTTTCGATAACTAATTAGAACCCAACATGTGCCTAGACTTAACTATTAAATTTTTCTCTAAGCTGATAAGAAACACTCTCTCAATGGTCGGTACAACAAGTTACTGGATTAGTCTTTTCTCAAATAGAGTGTAAGATCTGAAATAAAGCATCTATGTAATGTGATTCCGATCAGATTCTAAAAGATTCTCCTGGGTAGTGTTTTCTTATTCCCCATAACTTGACTAATTTCTGTAGGATTGATATTTGAATCATGATAGTTAATATGCACAAATACAAAATTTATCGAATGAGTGTATAATTATAATTTTGACTTTGAAGCAGATTTTATTTTTAATCACAAACGTCAATTAGTGTGAATTATGTACGCCTAATACAATATCCGGTATGTATTGAAAACGTCAAAAGCAAAAATGTCGAACATATACAATGTCTAAAATTGTAAGATATCGTTATAAAACAATATTGATTTTGTTTTATTTTATTTTCTATTTCTCAGTAGAATTTCAATGATTAGCTAAACAATTTTCCTCAATAAGTAATTTTGTGAGCGAACATTCTAGAATGTAGCATATATCGGAACTACAAAATAACAAAGAACATAATCAAAGTATTGTTATACGGCCTTCTACATATTTCGCTTGCTTTTAGATATTGCAATACACATTTTTGTAGTTTCATCACATTATTCTTTCGACTGTATAATACCCACTAATACAAGTTCTATATCTTTTCTTGATTCCAAGAAAAGTTATTGACAATTGATTTGGAATTGTTTCTTTTACAAATTCAATAAACAAACATCTTCGCAGATATATTGGATCTGTAAAACTAAGAATTACAAAGGCAAGGCTCATACGGATTGGAATAATAATTGCTTTAACTTGAAAGGGTAACGTAATTATCTATTTCAACCAAAAGGTCTTGAAGTTCAATGCTTTCGGAATATTCTTAAGAATCGCTTTTTTCGATATTTTTTTTCGACATTCCTGTTTCGACGTTTTCGCATCCATTCGATATTCCATTATATATTGTCTATATTCGACTGATACTATACTTTTTTACGATAATTCAACTGTTGTAGTTTACTACACTTGATATGTTTTTACATTACAGATTTTTGACTGAATATGATTGGATGGTATGTATTAAGCGTAGTTGCAATTATTCAATTGCATCGTAGTTCTATTGCTGTGAACGCAATTCCGATTGCCTCTCAAGTTCGTGGATCTAACGAAGTAGCCGTTTTTGGGCATTTGAACCCGGACACAGACTCCATTGCTACAGCGATTGGATATGCAGCTTTGCTGCGATCTATGGGTATCAATGCGAAAGCCTATCGTCTTGGAGATCTCAATAAAGAAACTGAATTTGTACTGAATACGGCTCAAGTACAAAGCCCCGATGTTTTATCCGAAGATATTCCTGACGGTTCTGAGGTTGTCCTGGTTGATCATAATGAGCGTGAGTAGAATCATACCTAATCCTATAATCATCTAGTTAGATAGTCGTCGTGTAGCATTCTGAAAATAAATAGTCCTGTCAGCCTTTAATTAGTGTGCGAATCAATGCTAGCTTAAATAATATGTGCTACAACATGCATACTATAAGACGATGATCCTATCCAAAATAATGTAATATAACTTTGTAAGCACAAGTGTTTCGTTTTCTTTACCACAACGTGAACTAATCGACGGGGAAAACAACGAGGTATGAGTTAGAATGAGTTTAGAACAATATAACGTCATTTTAAATAAGTAGAAATTATTGAAAATCACAGAATGACCCAAACAATCATCCGAAACCATGATAACTCACTGAAACTCAGTTCATTTTTGTTGATTTGTCATTGATTTAGTGGTGAATTTTTACTGGAGAATATTTTAGGTCTACAATCGATTCACAATTTGGCCAGTATGAATATCACTTACGTCATTGATCATCATAAGCTTGGCGACTTAACTACTTCGCAGCCTGGCTACATTCGTTTTGAACCAGTTGGATGTACAGCTACCATTCGAGCTAAAATGTATCTTGAAAAAATATACCTATTGATCGAGCAACAGCAACTCTCTTGCTCAGTGTTATTATTAGTGACACACTCCATTTTCGGTTAGTACCAAAGACTTGATTCAACAGTAAAATTTCTAAGATTAATCCTTCGTATTTAATTTGTTGACAACTAGGGATTACATCGATTAAAGTACACCCTAATTATACAAGAATATATGTCTGCTTCCTAATTTTGTAATCGTTCTGTTACAGTTAAGATGTTTCACGCTTTCCAAGAAGAAAACGGAAAACAATATTCAAGACATTTTTATCATCTATAAATAAAAATCGGTGGACGTAAGTTTAGTAAAAGAATCGTTTTGCCTAATAGAAAGGAGAAAATATTTTGTGTTACAATTCTTTATATCTCACAATCGACATTATTTCTTTCGAATAGAATGATCTTATCTCACACTTAAACCAGATGAAGGCTTTTTATGACATCGAATTTGAAGAACAGCTTGCTTTTAACTATAGAAGTACTTCGTTTTCGAATAAGTACTATGAAATGCATACATTATCAATCTTATCAAAAGAATTTAGTTGATGGTTTAAATAATATGTTAAAGCTATTCCAGGACCCAAATTTTTTCATTTATATAATAGAAAAGAGACTATCGCGTAGCTCTCTTTCTCTATTACCAGATCGGAGTCAAATTCAAGTTTGAAAATACCTCACAAGTATCGCTAGATGCAGGAGTTACGCGAAAATTCAAAGCAACTTATGTGCCAAACTCATAAAAATGATATGAACAAATATAATTAAAGTGAACAACTAGAATATATTCCGATAATTCGATCTTAAAAGTCAGCATTTCTTTTTAATTAGCATGTTTCGAATTATTTTCGTTTTTACAATTGCTGAAACATTTTATCCCTAGTCACCTGAAGAATCAGTCAAAAATGCACGTCATAATAAACTGTATGATAATACCAAAGTAATTTATCATTATTTAACACATAGAATAGCTTCAGAAAACACATTATTAAATAGGAAAAACGATTGTTTGATCATGATACAAGTGGTGAATTTTTTAAAAGATGCAGAAGTCAACTAGGTTTTCTATACTGATTTCGAAAATACTCATTATAAGCATCAGCAGTAGTATTAGCGGGACAAATATTGGCATCTTATGGAATGTCAAAATAGCTATTAAATTAGTAGTCACTTCGCGTATTATCTAAAGAAGAAGCAATCATGCTCGTGAGAATTATGTCAGAGTATTTCTTAATTTGCTGCTTATTGAGAATATCATAGGCCCACTTCTCTTATATTCTAGATCGGTTACAACAACGAACGACGATCGAAACATTGTAACTTATCTTCAGCCGATTTCTGGGATTACTGACCTGCAATCATACGTCGATAACCTATTTGAAGCCAAAAGTGATTTAGCAGGATTGACGACGGAAGAAATTGTTCTTCGGGATTATAAAATCTTTGTTTTTCAAAATCAGAAATGGGGTATCGGTGTAGCTGAAACGTGGTATCCGGATTATTTGCTCAACCAAAAAGACGAACTGCTCCTAGAAATGGTCAAAGAAAAAGGCAGGAGCAATTTAACTGGTATATTATTCTCAATTATTGATATACTCAATGAGAAAAATCTAATGTTAATACCTGGAGAACCGGAAAATACTGTGGTACGAGCAGCGTTCAACGTAGACGTTACAGATCAAATGGCTGACTTAGGCGCAAGACTCAGTCGCAAACTACAAATTATTCCACCACTCGAAGTATACTTCAATAAAAGAGCCTAGATCATGCATCATACTGTCATATCTAGTGAAAACGAACATCTAACTTAAGAATCAAGCTTCTTATAATTAGTTATTCTATTTAAGTTTTCAATTAAAGTGCTAATTTTTAGTTAGTTCTACAACATTCAAATAAAATCTTGATAATGATGAAATGATTTGTAACACTAGAAGTAATGCGAAATGAACGAAAATGTATGGTATTCTGTAAGAGTAGATCTTACTAAAATCTGGCGAATCAAACGTGTCGTGTGATATTTTCAATTACCCTATGATAAACACAATCGCAACCTCGTTTCCGGTTGAATCACCTGAAGTGTCGAAAGCTCTGTAAAAGTGATGTAAACAAATTCTAATTTCAACACAAAAAGTCTGCCCGACAGTTTTTAATCATTTTGCCATTTTCTATGGCATTCTTTTCTTAGGACTCAAATTTGTTTTTCATACTAAACAGTAATTTTCTCACGATTTTAATATTGCATGTTGAGGAGCGCTTATAAAAGTCCTTTACAGAAGCTTAACAATACCTTAGACGAGGGAAATGTTTTAGATGGAAGGTATATCATTTTTGTTGTCCTTCACTAGTGTTGTTTTTTCTACCTTCTCTACTTAAGAGACAAGATTTTTTTTTGTGCCTGATGATGTCGATAGTTCAAAGTTAATGTGAAAGTATCCCGTATAGAATTCTCTGTAGAACCGTCAAGACTGTTCACAAAAGCATAAATTCGAAATCATTTAACAAAACTCAGACCAATTATTGTGTCAGTGAGATCCCTTGACTTAGTTCTCTCGTCGTAATGAATTTTACCATATCTACTTTTGAATGTCTTTTTTATTTTCTTCAGATGATTGAGCGATACATAAGCCTAACGGTTCACAGTGAGCAGAAAACACTTGATCCAAGTGAAACCCAAAGGCTATCTAAAACTCATTAACAAAATAGAACATTGCTAATTTTACCATCAGAAATAGGAAGTGAGGATACGCCGAATAAAATTTTACAAACAAAATATGCCTTGTTTGCAAGAAAACATTTTCCGACAGTCTTTTTAGAGAGTTTATCAAAAATAAACCTCATTGAGCATCTTAGGATAAGCTCTCATATATAATTCCACATGTACTAATCTTCTCTTTGTAATGACGAAAAACATAGCTTTCTACCCTGTTTTTGTTATTAAATACTTTTAGTTACTCGTGGTATATGTTTCAATCTGACTTGACATAAGCAGCAATGAATTCGTCATCAGTAGCGTCAATAACTGAATTGAATTTAATTCAAATCAACGTCATCCGTTACTTTCTGGTACCGATTTATGTTCTTGGTAATTTTGGGAGCTTAGTGAATATAGTTCTTTTCTCTCAACGTAACCTGCGATCGAATAATATTTGTACGATATACTTCATCGGTTTATCATTGGCGAATATATTCGTTCTCAATACTGGTTGTATAACTCAAATCCTTTCTTTTTTAATCAATTTTAATATGGATACGACATCAATTATATTCTGCAAAATTCTTAATTATTGTATTCAAGTGGGGATAGTAATCGGCCGCTATTTTATTTGTCTGATCTCTATTGGACGATGGATGGCAACGTCAGAGAAGGAGAACCTTCGAAGAATGATTTCTCCACAAGGTACTAAATATCTTACAGTCATTGGGTCATGCATTATCGCACTTTTTATTGTACATATTCCAATTGGATTTCAAATCAGCAATAAACGATGTTACGCATCGTTCAGTGAAATATATGTTATATTCTTCAATATCTACAGTATGATGATTATTACAGTACCAGTTATTTTAATGACATTATTTAGTATTCTTATTTTTGTAAATGTTCGAAAAAGTCATCATCGTATCGCACCGTCTTCCTCCGTTAAATCCAATGCTCAACTAACTTTCACAACAACCAATGAAGTTATTCAGCAAAGAGATATTCAGTTCATTCGATTAGCTTTAATCCAGGTTTTCACCTTTGTGATTTTTGCTATTGGCTATGGGATTTACAATGCATATGATTTTTTGACAAGTTCAATGAAGAAAACTTTTCAGCGACAAGCGACCGAAGCATTTATCAGCGAAATAGCAGTCAACTTCAATTATGTGACCGCTGCGGTAAGATACTTACAAGAAAGGAAACATTGAAAAATTCTATTCTTTTTAAACTAATCGTTTAGACCCCATTTTTTTCTTATACATTGGCATCGAATAAATTTCGGCAAGATTGCATACGAACATTTCGTCGTTATTACAGAATTATTCTGCGATATCTTGGACAATGATTCATGTGTTGTCACTATATTTAAATGCATGCCATACAATTTGGCCCAAAATCCCTTTTCCGTTTCGAACATGACACTACCTATTGTACTTACCTCTTTTACTTCAATACAACTTTTCAATTCTTGAAAACAAAAATCGATCACTTTTTTGAATAAAATAAATGAGGATGTGGATGTGGATGTGGATGTGAGGAACGAAGAGAATAAGGCGACATCTTTGAATAATCGATGCTAGTTCACTAGTATCAAATCCTGAAAATTAGAAAATGAATGAAGAAAAACGAAACTGGCAAATTTGCGTTATTAACTGTCGTTCTCTTACTAGAGATATTGATATAAACAGGTGCCTTACGACATACTTGCCATGATTTCGCAAGAGTGTAGCATAGGTTATTGCACAAGAAAATTGCAAGAGTAAGTAGAAAACCGTGAAATAAAGCAAGAAGTAAATGTTTGATTTTTGATAAACTGCAATGCATTACTTTTATGCATGGCCTCTAAAACATAACATGCTTTATATTTTTCTTCATATATTTTATCAATTGAAGATTAATATCTTTTTTTCAATGGCGACAGCTTCTTTAGTCTGCGAACTTCGACAATTGAAGTCTTGTGGTTTTTTTGTGATGAAATCAAATCAAAGTTTCTTACTCATGAAGCATAGAAATCGATATGACCTACCAAAAGGACACATGGAACCTGGAGAAACTGAGCAGCAAACAGCTCTACGAGGTAAAGAATAGAGAAATTTCGATTCAAATAATGATAATAACTTAAAACAAATGAAAGAGAGTTAAGCAACTAAATCATGAACATCATGGTTCATGCAAAGATGAAATTTAGAAACAAAACAGAAATGTTTACTCAATTTTATCTTAGAAGATAATTTTGAGATATTCTAAAGAGATAAATATCAGAATGTTCAATTTTACTACCCAACTCTAAATTGATTCATTATTACAGAGTTACTTGAAGAAACAGGAATAAAATCATCTGACATCGATATCGATCCACATTTTCGTTCCGAAGAAGTAAGTCATAAAACTTTGAATTTCATTTAAACTGCTTCAGTGTGTTCTCTCTAGACTTACTTTCCAATATACAAGCGTTTCCGAGGAGAAACAGTGCAGAAAACACTTGTTATATTTCTAGCCAGATTGAAGTCTGATTCGATTCAAGTAATAATCGCTAAGTCTGAATTGTCTCTCTATTCGTGTCTCTTCCTTCATAGGTAGTTCCAACTGAGCATCCGGATTTTGAATGGCATACTTGGAACTCATTGCAACCATCGAAAGAGACCAAGAATATCGACGAACTTTTACACAAAATTCAAGCATATCTCAATAAATAAACTATATTAGTCATTTTAGACATAATGTGAGTTCAATGGAATAAAGCAATTTTTTGACATGCTCGAATACTTTTTTGTAGGGGTGTCAATTTACAGTTTATTTAATTTAAATTTCGTGAAAAGTCAATTTAGTTTTAAATAAAATTTTATAAAGTTAAATTTAAAATAAATTTAAATTAAATTTTTGAAATTTTTTTCTCGATTTAATAAATTTTTTGAAATTTAAATGTGACACCCCTACTTTTTTTGTGAAACTCTATAGAAACCAGTTTTATCGATGATGAAAGTTGAGATTATGAAGAATACATGAATTCTACAATTTAGCCTGAAGGTGGCTGTTCTAATAAAATTTTCTTATAAAATACACGCTTCTATGTGTTATCATATTTGAAAATGCAATGAATAGAGCAAAAAATACACTAGAATAGGACGTAATTGCAGTCTCAGTGCAAGATAGAAATCTAAATTATATCAAACGAATGAAAAATCTCCCAGATGAGGGTACGAGTGTGACGGAAGAAAAGAAGAGTCACATTCACACTCCACAATCAAGGCAATCATAATTTTCTGTTCTCTTTCTGATATATCAAACTACATATTTTTCCATTTTTATCGAGTTAATAGTATTGCTAAAACAAACAAATGTGCTTTTTACCACTGTGACGACAAACCGAACAGGAGTAGCTTACCGTCACTCTCGGCAACGATGTTTATTCGCTAGTTCACATATCAAGAGTGTAACATCTGTACATACTGCACACGTTTATATACGAGAGAGAATGAGAACAGAGAGAGAAGGAAGAAAAATCATCGGAGTGTGCCATTAAAATCAGCCCGACCACCATTTGGAATCAGGTAATGATTGAGGGTGTTGCTCCGTAACACGTATCATTATTCCTGTACAAATCATTTCGGCGTCAACATCATTAAAATCAACTATCTTTTTAGCATTGGTTTTGATAACCCATTCAATCTCTTCATTGCTTACATTAGAATCGATAGTAGTACGAACACCTAATGTTTCGCGACCTATTTTTTTAATATTACTTGGATGAACACGACATTCTAATACAAATTGTACATATTTACCATATTTATCATTACCATATTGATCTTTACCAATTTTAAAATATTCGTTCTGATGTTTTGGTTCTATATCTTTAACTTCAGCATATCTTGGATGACAAGCATAAATAATCGACGGACTAGCATATATTCCTTCCCCATGCGCAGTATTGTCTGCTGGTTTTAATCCGCTTAATAAAATTGCTAAACCGAAGTTAAATTTTGTGCCATGATAACAAATACACCAACCTTTATACCTGGCACGCAAGTTATCAATGATATAAAGAGAATTTCGTTGCCATCCAACAGGACAATAATACGGTTTACCTCCACGGTCTCTTCCATCTTTAAGTTCACCAGTCCAGTATGTATGACCTGGACCATACGTACGATTAAATTGGGGATTTAATTTAATTTCTGAGCGATAATTTTGCTGTTTTGCAAATGCTTCAATACTACCCATATACAGAAAAAAGACGTTAAGCTTTGCAATTTCTTCTTGCATTTTATCTGTTAATGATTCATACATCACTCGAATCTTTAATGCTTTATCTTTGGATTCTAATTTTCCAAAAATTTCTGTTTCTAATATAGCGGAACCATTCTGTATGTTTTTAATTGAAATATCATGCATAGTTATGTTCAACATCGAACAAATATTATTCAAAAAATTTTGTAATTTAAATTGATGGCAATCTTCATCAATACCAAATTTTAATATAAGTGATTCTATGGCGACATTATGATCAAATATTTCATCAGAAACCGATATTAATGGTCGTTTGGTCATATAGTAATATTGTTTACATTCATCATAATACTTTTTTTCTTCAGATGATAGTGGTTGATCGGACAAGTACTCATCTGCTGATAAGTTGATTTCGGCATGTGCTTTTATGATAGAAAGAGAATGTTGCTGAATTTTCATGAAAATATATTTTTTTGAAAATTGATTTAATGAATACCCTAAGATTACCTTCAATCTTTCACATCGAGATTCTTCATCATTCATTTTCAGCAATATATGTCCTAACATTAAGAGGCATTTACACGAAGACTGAGTGTGAGAATAAAAATACTATGCACCGTTATTGTCGCTACCCACTCTCGAACCTCATTCAACACGCCCACACCCTCAAGTCCAAGTTAAAATATTTGAAGCAGCACGGCATCAGGAGTGGACTGAAGTGAAATCAGCTTACCCATAGCGTAACTGTATTCATCCTGGACAATTTTTACTCTTAACATTGAAAAAATATTTACCGGCGTCATACCGATCGTAACATTTTTGATTAGACTTAGCTCATCTTTATTGAAAATTCTGATAATGTCTGTGATCATGATCTACTGGCTTAGCTGAAATCGATACACAGACCATACGCATGACTACTACATTGACTGATAAATTATATCTTGAAAAACTTACTAATTGGGCCTTGCGTTTGATGCATTCTGTTTTGAATATACAGCACAAATAAAATAATTGAGATTAGTGCCAATTCGAGAAACATAACTGTTTGTTGTTATTCAATACTAAAAGAAACAAGTTGCAAAGTATTATATCATGTAACTTTTTCCGGATTCCATAAACTCTTATGCATATTGACAGTTTTGACTTATACTATTATAAAATTTAGCTATAACTTACTTTTACTGGCATTTGGGAAAAATTTCGATGAAACTGAGAATTTATATGAAAAATTCTCGAAGTATACTATTACGTGCCAACTTATTCAGGAGGAAAATAAAAAAACTAAAATGAAGCCGCAAAAAGAACGGGCATGCAATTACTTTTCAAGTTACTATTGCTACACGAATACTCGAAGAATCGATGTGGTTGAGAGTGGGGTGGATACGAATTGCAGTCTTTCTTTTCTTCACATCTACAACCTTGATCGCTCTGTCTTCGTGACTGTATACAAAACAATAGACGTGCAGTATTGCCAGCTTATAAAATGAGAGAAGCTCTAAAACTCGTTAAAAAAGGCACAACAAAACATGAAAAAAAAAGTTTTTTCAGGACTCTCCGCATCTTAAAGCGCTTGAATGCTTTTCATTCTGCCCGTGTAGGAATGTCTAGTTTCAAGTCTAGTCAGTTAAAATCCTTTAAATTAATTTTAACAGGAATTGGAATTTATTGGCATTGGTGTAGAATTGATTGGAACTTATCTGTAGCCGGCTGACAATAGTTCAGAATCAGTATTGGTTAGGAAATCCTTGTTGCATAGGTAGCAAATTTACCAACAAATATTAATTACTTAGATGAGATCTGTTGTCTGCCTTTGAAGAGCAACTGACTTCAATAAGAAATGAATTAGACAGTTTCGAACAACTGATTACAAATTTTGATTCATCGAACTCGGCAACCTGTAATCAGCGTTAATGAAAGAGCCGAATCGAGAAAATTCTATTACTTGACTACAAGATGATGTGAATTGACATGTCCAGCCAATACTTGAAAATTTTTGATCAGTGTTAAGTTTATTATGACTAACATCAGAGTAATTTGAACTGTTTACGATACCGGTTCTAACAAAATCACCACAACTAGAGGTCTGAATTAGCATTGGAATGGGTATTTTCTGGGACTTGAATTGGTCAACTCTTATCATACTCATACGCATCATAGACTAAAATCTATCACAAGCCACTAATGGGACAAATGTTGCAGAAAAAAACTAACTGATTACATGAATGTTTAGATGGATTCACTTCAGATCGTTTATGAAATTACGAATTCTCAGCAAACATTTCTGCTTAAAGAATCCAAAAATGTCGAGTGGGATACGTCTTTTATACATGACGAGTGTTTAGGTTGAGCTGTTCAAGTATCTGAATCCATTTAAACAACTCTTGATGACTATTATAGCATACCGCAACACAAATGCAATCACAATATACTGATTAAGTGTTTCCAAAAGAAGATTTCTTCTGCTTTGCAGTGGTGAGGGTTGGTAATTTGCTATAAATCCTACCGGACGCCTCACACTCACATTCACAAGAAGGCATACTATTTGGTATACGAAGAAACTAGTGGATTCATAAAACATACCAGAATTCAATTAGCAGTTGATCTGCAGCAGAAAGATTTCGAAACGTTGAATGCGACAGTAAAGACGGGGGAACAACGAAGAATGTTGCGAAGCCTGTAACTTTCAAAATAATTCAAACAAACACAGTAACGAAACAAAAAATCATCCAAACAACGTAGTGAAAGCCCAAAAACTTCACATTGAGAAAGGAAAGCATTTGAAAAAGCATCAAAATTCTCTAAACAACAAACAAACATCATTTAATGAAAGGAAGAAACAGAAAATCAATGTACTTTGTACGTGCGAATATAAAGTTTTGGATAAAAATTTCAGATCAATTTTCGCACTTTTTCTTCTGTCTGAACACAATGGCTAAGAAAGTTTTATTGAGTATTACACTTACGAGGGAGGGTCACCAAGTGTTCAATCGCTTTTGCGTTGAAACTACTTACATTATGCAGCTTCCGATGAGTTATGAATACGCTAAAAATATTTTAGGCGGATAGCTTATTGTGACTAAACTAGGCCATTTTTAAGGTATGAACTTTTGTGAGTGCCTGGGGTCCCCCTCACGGGCATTAAAAAAGTGATGTTCGAATTTTGACTTGAAACTTTTCATAGAAAAACTCGATAAGGAGAGCAGCTTCTTGTGAGCGCTTCAGACCTTTCTACTATTCCTATCGTTAGACACGGGTATCGTGAAATTTTATTGCACATCTTGCAAATGAAGTAGTAGATTTAATGAAACAAATAAATTCAATGATCAAAAGCATTCAAGAAACACTACTCTCGTTGAGGTGTATTGCTGCATAAAATCTCAAGTTAAAATTCGAAAATCAATTTTCGAACGTTCCTGAAGGGGGCTACAGCAATAATTAAAAGATACAATGAAAATGACCTATTTTCGTAACAATAAGCTATCCGCTCAAAATATTTTTAGCGTATTCATAACTCCTTGGGAGCTACATAATCTAAGTAGTTTCAATGCAAAAGCGGTTGAACACTTGGTGGTCCTCTCTCGTTAGGCACGCTCTACGGTTAGTAAGTGAATGTGGAACGGGTCCGAAGGCACTAGTGTTTTTGCTACGTACATATTTTAAAACAACAGAAGTTACTCAATACAATTGATAAATTTACTTTGAGAAATACTTTTGCTCGCGTACCTTGAATATAATTAGCGGTAGCCGCATGTAATCAAGGGAAACAACAAAAAAGTGTAGAGAAATATAAATAGGGGGAAATGAATAAGTATGAATGGCATATGAACAAGAAAGAGCAACAGAGAAGATCATACAGTATCTCCACGACACATTGAGGTCAACATGAGTTATGAATAGAATAGAAGAAATTGTAGCATAGATCATCATAATGATATTTCTTGTTTAGCCTATAATGAAATCTGAGATAAAAATGAAAAGAAAATATAAGGATTACTACAATGGTGAAAGGAGAACAGTAACTATTGCGGATCAGCAGTTTTATGATGAAATTTTACTTCCTTAGGAAGAAATATTCAGCGTAATACTTACGAGATTCAAACTTAAAACCCTACATAATGCCACAATGAACCATAACTTCACTTGATAAAGTAGATAATTGGGTCTAAGTGAAAACTAATTCTTCAAAGGATGTGGATGCTTATAATCTATTCACTCACGCACTCCCTCTTTTTAATAACGAAAAACAAAACACGATTAAAATGCTTTAACTTTCAATGCTTGACATGAATATCTAGTGAACTGCTGATTTATCGTGATAGACACTAAGAGCTTTTATTAACAAAGTTTTTGTCAGTTAATTCGATCGTTGAAGTTATAAAAAAATGAGAAAAACTATCTTTTCGCTGGACTCACACGAAAACGATGGTATGCCAGTCAACATAGGCTCTTATCAATCGCAAATCTTTGTACACGATGATTACTAGGATCGACTACATAAAGATTTCCTTCAAGATCAAATGATAAATCAGTAGGATCATCAAATTGATCTGGTTCCGAGCCTGGACCACGACCACCGGCAATGATACTACCAGATGTAGCTCCACGTGGCCAACGTACTACACGTCGATTATCAGTATCAGCCACGTAAACAGTACCCAACTGATCGACCGCAACACCATTCGGCGATGATAACTGATCTGTGCCATTTCCATGAGATCCACCAGCAACAACTGATACTTCTCTTTTTTCAAAATTTACTTTTAGAATTCGCTGATTGGCATTGTCAGCCACATAGACTAATCGATTCCGATCTACGACTAAGTCGAGAGGGCGACTAAAATTTAAAATCATCACTTCTCCAACGATTGCATTAGGAAGCCATCTTGATATTTCGCCTCGTTCTGGAATAGACACATAGAGTGTTCCTTGATCATCTTGTGCTATGTCATGAACGGATATTTTTCCTATCACTGTTTCTCCACTTTGGGCATCTCGGGCCCATTTTTGAACACGAAAATTATAACCGTCACTTATGTACATGGTTCCGTCCTGCTCAACAGTAACATCGGATGGGTAATACAATTGATTACTATGGCCTCCTTGTCCATTTCCACCAGCAACTAATTGGCCAGTAGATGCATTACGATCCCATTTGACAATACGATGGTTGGCGAAATCGGCAACATACACAGTTTGATTTTCATTAACGAAAATTCCGAAAGGTTGATCCAATTGATTGAGTCCATCTCCTACGCCGTTGCCACCAGCTACTGTAATGCCCATTCGAGACCACGTCGCATGTTCACAAATACCATCACCGGGCCTCGGTCTAGCTGAATTCAATAGAACAAGAAAAATAATTGTTTTCAAAATGAGACGCATACATCACTCATTTGATCGATATCGATTTTTAGACAAAAATCATTTTGAAATTATTCTCAAACGTAACACACAGCTTCTATTCATTGTCATCAGTACTTCGTATCATAATTAACTACTGAAATAGTGAAATGTTTGTCAGAGAAAAACTCGGTATGCAGATCCTAAAAGTATTAGACATGTAGAAACTGTAGTCTATATCAAAATAAACGAGAAAGCTACTAAGTAATCGAATGTACTTGTTCGAATTTCGATTCTCTCTTCTCTTACCAGGGCACAGCCGTTCATCTGTCATCGACAATGGATAACAAAGTGGACGAGTGTTGCATCGAGGATGATGAACACATATATGATTAGGTTGATAGCAAATATTATTTGATGCGGCACACGAAACCAACTGAGAACAAGTTAACCCTATTAAACCGCAAATGCCACTATGATTCGTAGTTAATCTATGCAAACATCCACATTGACTATTTGTTGAGCATCGACCATATTGAGCCATTCCATGACACATTTCAGCATAAATTCGAACTATCAAACGTGTCAATGCAACAAAAGAATATATTAAATACAACATGAATCTAACCTGTCACGCTAAAACAAAAGAAAATCATTGTATGTTCGAGAAATCGGGAATAATTCATTTTTATTACCTGAGAATAATGAATATCAAAGACTGATTTATTAGTATGACCATAGTTTGTAATCACACAAATGAAAATTGTACTACTTTTCTAATTCGCTTTATCAAGGTTGAGTTTCAATCTTATATATTTCTATATTTTTCGAATTTCAAATGTGCAAAATAACTATACGTTGTTGATAAATAGAAATTCGATATTCTTAATCCTCTTCTACTGAAAATAAAAGTGATTTCTATCAGATAGATAGTGCGCGAGCAAATGACTAATATTCGATTAGAAAAAGTTTGCATCGTCATTTTGATAAACTATTTTAGATAAAGAACTTAGAAGATCAAAAAGTGTGTTCTAAAAATGAACTTCAAAAGTAACACACTTCCATTTTTCCAAAATTATGTTGTTCACGAAATAAGTATATGATCACCGCTTTAGTTAGAAATTAGAGTCATATTTGGTCTTGTCTTCTCAGATATATGTACTATCCTCAATGTATCAATCTGTAGATTTTTGACAAGAACATGTTATAAATCAACATATTTTTGCTAGAACAAAATTTAAAGAAACATTTATCTTTTGGCTATAATCGAGGATTCTTTCTCTGTTAGATGTGCGTATTTTAAAGCGAAAAATAATGGTATTATAGTACATATATTAAAGTGGCAGAATATTCAAAGAGAATGATTGCATTTATTATTATTTCTTTTACTTATTACAAACACTCGTTTTTAGCTCGAGGACACAAGTAAATATTAGAGACCAATGCAGCAATAAATAGTACAATTTGAATGCTTACATTTACACGAACACATATTTTCAGTATGCAACTCGAATATTTTCTGTTTATCTTCATTGCGATTGCGGATCTAGTCAAAGCAAAAGACGTGGCTTTACGATAGTATGTTCTTAGCAAAGATTATTTTAGCGGTATCAAAGAAAATGAGTTTTCTGTTTATAATCAATCATCGAAAAATATTCAATACCGTATTGAATCTCATATGGCTTTAGCACGAAATATAGAGCTGGTAGCCTATCTTTCAAAATTAATCGTCGGAAAACTATGTGAAACATTGGATTTAGCAACTTTCAGCATACTTGATACGAAATCAGGACAATATCTAACAGGGAAAATGAAGAACACATATCCACTATTCAAGAACTTTAGTTATGTCATCTAATGGAACGGACGACGGATAGCTCTGATTAAAAATCTTCTTGGTATTCGTGGGTATTTTTGGGATGCAGATCAGGGAGATAAACTGCTTGCTCGTTTTATTGAGCCAACCAAATCTACGGCGTACAGCTACAACATAGATATATTCTCGAATGATGTACCTGACAGAATCTATCTTTTGGCATTTTCTTGGAGAGAGAATCAGCGCTCTAGTCAAACAAAAAAGGGATAATAAAGCAATTCGAATTTCTACCCTAAAGTACATATGATTCATAATGATTGATCACTATTTTAAAAGGAATATTATTTTTCAGTTTTTACTAATTCATTACATTATTCATCGATTGTTTTTTTAGTACTCCTTAAAATAAACTTTGAAGAAAATTTCTATGTTTGGATGTAGGTGTGTATCTTTCTTTCATCCACATCCGCTACCACATATCATTGACATCAAATCAATGCGTATTACATCTGTTATGTGTGTGCTCTCAAATTTAGACACCATAATCCAGTAAACGAGATCACAATTCTGATATAGCACATTCATTTTTTGCGAATATAAACTTATCAAAAAAAGAGCAGGACATAATAGCAAAAGAGGGTGAGGGAATTTCGATGAAAATCGTATCATTCCATGTCTGTGAAAGTTCTCTCAAGCTTCAGCTCAAATTTATCATTTCCACTGTATTTGCTTGTGTTGACAAACCATTTTCCTTCGAATAGACTCTGACTCGTGTTCCAGCTAAGCTGAATTGTAGCATCATGTCCAAGATTCTGTGTTGGATCACCTGTTCCCTTTTGGTATGTCTTCGTCAGTCCGATTCGATTGGTTTTTCCTGAGTAGAGACCTTCAATGGTGTACGCGCCAATATCATCCAACCCAGAGCCTCCCACGGTAAATGCTTCAGAATTGAATGAGAGCGAAATTAGATAAGGTCCATGCCATTTATTATACTGATAATATCGACTTGACCATATGCCCGACTCAAACTGATTCAAATGTTGCTCATCAACTAGAGCTGCCGATGAATTAACATAAGTCACGATGGATTGTGCCGGTCTACCGTTGGACCATTTTAAGTAAAAAGCTACGGCTATTATAAAGAAAATGCCGCCCATACTGATATAATCTTTAATCATGTTTTGACGGCGACATTTATCATCTGTACACGTACTTGCTCCACGATGTGAACGACCTATAGTTAGTTAAATCAAGTTAGTTTGCTTGAAACCAAAATAAAGTAATATTTCGAGCGATCAACTACTGTGAAAAGATTTTCACATGATAGTACGCTTAAGTGAATAATGACTTACTTGTTCCGCTTCGGCTACTTCGACTACCTCCGCGTCCTCCTCCACCTTGACAATGAGCCACTATCGTAAGGGCAAAAACGAATAACAATAAACGGAAAATGAAATGCATTGCTATTGTTCCAATCAAACCCGTTTTCAGGAATATTAGGAGTCACTATTAATTTCCACTGCTTTACTCTGCTATGAACACATTTTTATGCACAAAAACAAAAAGAGGTTGATTCATTCTGTCCACGTCATCAACATCTCTGCAACAATATAAGAACGAAGAAAATTATTAAGTATGATGTCAGGTGTTGTATTCATGCCTTTCGAGCGTAAACATGAAATGTATTTTAGGCGCGTGTTCTACCGTTGGAGAAAAAGCAAAGAAAAGGTAAAAAATTACATTTGCACAAACACATGGAAACAAGTAACCCTACGATCATATTGGCAAAATAAGTAAACAGTGATGGGTGTATAAAGGTGTTTCTTAACAACGATGTTCGTCAGCATCAGCATCGATAACATTCGGAATTGATCTAAATTCTCCGAATTCAACTTCTCCAAATAAATTTTTGGTCAAAAAATACCGAATCAAATATATGACCCGTACTAGGTATAAAGTTGTATCATCATTAACTATTTCATCGGCGAATCGATTAATCAATCACATCTGACTTGGTTGCCAACAGATGAGAGCAAAAACGATCATTTATACAGCAGGTTGCCCGTTACTAGCATCTGCGAAATGAAAATACGCTATTCATTCGTGTGCCCAAGACGCGGTAATTTACTTTCAACTATTGTAGTGCTCAAAAGATTACGAATGTTACAGTGAGATCCTAGGCCACATCCTTTAAATAGTATTTGCACGTAGTAAATATGCCAAGTGCTTTTTTTGCTTTACCAAATAGTACCATAGGCACTTTGCCTTGGCTCAGGAGACTCAATTTTAACAATATTGACTAGATTAGTATGTAGAGAAACACAGGTAAATTATCGCTTTAGTAAACTTATTCGAAACATTTCATTAAATTTATTCTTCGTGGATTTGAAGAATCGATGTGTAATAGTTATAAAACAGTGTCAATGATTCAAATGTACATCGATGTTAACATATTTAGCAGTTGAACATCTTTATGATAGTGATATTACAAACGATGAATAGAATGTTATCAATATAAATATTGTGAATTTAAAGCAATCCATTAGTAATCATTCTATACCTAAATCTGAAAATATTTTCGAGACATTAGCTCCATGTTAAATCGAAATGGTTGATGCTACTACTGATTCCTATAATGAAAAAATACCATGGGCCGGACAATAAACAGTCGTAAAGTAGCCATTTCTTTCATCGTTTGCTGATGCAAAACGGGCAGTAAATGAATCCCGTTTTGATCGCCCTGGGATGATCAAACTTCAACCATTTCAAACATATTTTTGGCACAAACAATATGATTCGTATACTAATTATGAAATTCGTGATATACATTGATAATACGGTATCGCATGGCATGGAAACGGTCGCATTCGGCAGCGTTACGGCAGCAACACAGATAGCTGTATCCATCGTCCTGGGTACAGAATGAATATCGATTATAATATCTACTATGAATAGATAAATTAATACATTCATCAACTATCCAAATGAATTAGATAATTTTAAAGATTTATCCAGATCGAAGAAGACTGCGCTAGTTTTCGTCAGTTCGAAAGACTATCTTATAATGATACACATAGAACATCTTTAAATGTTGAGTGACTTCAATATAAGTTGATGATTTATTACTAATATTATCATCGAAATGTTCTAAATTATATCAATAATAAATCGCGGAAAGATTAGTCATTAGTTATATTTATGGATGGGTGCGGGTGTGGGTGTAGGTGTCAGTGTGTGAGTGTACGTATTAAAATGCTTCAAGGCTATACCCACGCCCACGCACAATAAAATTGACGTTTTTTTTCAATCATTCCTGTCAATATTGAATTTTTGTACTCGATGATTTCCGTTACCGACCACATACAAATCACCATGTCGATCGAATAGCAAGCCGAAGGGCTGATTGAGTTGGTTCAATTGTTCTCCTCGACCGTTTCCACCAATAATGACACTTCCCTGAGTGGCTCCTTTAGGCCAACGCATGATTCGATTATTCCCTTGGTCCGCCACATAGACAGTGCCCAATTGGTCGACAGCGATTCCTCGAGGACATGACAAGTGTGCAAGAGTACTTCCTTGTCCTTGGCCACCAGCCACGACAATGCCTTGTTTTGCACCCACCATCCATTTCATTACACGATGATTTCCATATTCAGACACGTACACTGAATGATATCGATCGACGAAGATATATTGTGGGTAAGAGAGTTGATCGAGACGATTCCCACTCCCATTGCCACCTGCTACCACTACTCCTTGAGATGCGCCTCTTTGGTATCGTCTCACTTCATGGTTTCCTTGGTCAACGACATAGAGTGATCCACTGTCGTTCATTGTCAAACCTCGACAATTAATGTTAGAGATGATCGTTTCTCCACTTGTTCCATTTTGACGAGGCCATCGAATCACTCTTTGATTTGAATTATCGCATATAATGAGACTATCTGTCTCTTTGTCGACAATCACATCATATGGGTTCCACAATTGATGAGTCCCATTTCCTTGTCCTTTTCCGCCGGCAACTACTTGGCCACTGGTCGCATTTGATTTCCATTGCACAATACGATGGTTTGATCGATCAGCGATATTTACCGTTTCGTCATCATCCACAAAGAAGCCGCATGGTTTGTAGAGTTTACGAATTTCATTGCCACATCCATTTCCTCCCGCCACAATGAGACCATTTGGTTGCCATCGAGCATTTGGATGAATATTTATTGAACTGGCACGTAGTGGACGACCTGAATAGTGAAATTAAAGTGGAAAGGCAGATATGACATATGAGAGATGTTAGTTAACGCACATATGAAAAACAAAAAATAAACAAGTATACATGTTGGCGCCCAATCTCAGATTGACCTAGGCGGACCTCAGATTAGCCTGAATCCATATTGGACGCAACATATATATCCCGTTGAATATTAATTTATATGATGATGCGATCAACCAGCAAAAGCAAATTTCAAGATGATTACATTTCAGTACTACTACTACTAAATACTACTATGATTCAAGAGTCTGTTGCAAAGCATAGTTGTTTCTGCTTTTTCTCTCTTTAGGTTTCCGAAAAGAAACAAAATTAAACAGTATAGCTATGAGGTAAAATAATATATTGTGACGCATGATATAGTTTCGCTCTTTTCGCATACAACATTAACAAATGTCTACAAAATTATACATGTACGTATACATAATTACGTAGATTCTACCACTTATTTTTTTCATAATAATACTACTGCAACGTGTATACTAGCATATGTATTGTATCTTATGTATTTCACGACCTTACCTAATGATACATATATGCATTTTCTGAAAAAATTTATACATATGACATTATTACACTATACTAGACATCTTCACAATTTTCAAAAAAATACATAATTATAAACTTCATTAGTATTTTTCTATAAAAATCGTCATCAGTAATGGAGTTATTCAGCACAACAACAATACATCTAACTGCAATATACTGTACTATACTATACGATACTCACATCATTTGCCTTTTGTTTTTGTACTCATTGGAATTAATAAAGTAGCTACATATTTTTATATGTAATCATGACGCCATCATCAGTTTTTAGAAGTCATTTCAAATTATTATTATTGAAGAAAAATAACTTCATTTTCTTTCATTTTGGATTTCCTAATATGTATCAACATATTAACGTAGTCACATTTTTATGACGCGATTATCACATCGGCGCAAGAAACTAAAACCGAAAACTTCTTAATATATCACTTACGATTATGAATAAAGACCAAAATAAAATAAAATCTTTGAATCATATATATAAACAAACTAGCGTTAGCTACTACTACTACTACTACGTAGTTTTCAAAAACATCATACTCAATTTAACAAAGTAAATATACGTCTCATATCATTTCACTTCATTTTGCTTCTCTCTTTCTCTCTCTTTATAATTTATCTATATCCCTATAAAAGTACTCCCACATACATTAATAAACAAAATTATCATTCACGATTATTATTATTATTATTATTATTGTGCTTAACTTTGAATGGTTCATCAGTAATGCTTGAATTAATCAAAATGTTTGTCTTAATAGCTAATGATTATAACATATGACACGATAGTAAGCAGGAAAGCAAAGTATCTCGGTAATAAATGATGCAAAACACAATCATATATCATATTCATTTAGAGATGTTTAGAAAGTTAGTCGATTTTTCTTCTGTAAGACATCAGAAATTATAAATTTCGAATTACCTGGATCCCATTCGCAGATGCGCATTCGTTGTAAAATATCAGTGATAGCTTCTTGGAACTGGTCGATTTCTTTAATATGATATTCAGTTTTGGCAGGAGATTTCAATTCGGCTAATTCTTGTGCGGCGGTCTTTAAGTCTTCAATTAATTTTACATGGCTTTGTAATAATTTCGTATGATTCTTCAATGAGAGATTATGTTCAAAGTCTCTGTTCCATTTGCTTAGCTCTTCTTGTTTGCTTTTCAGTTGTGCTTGATAATTCTCAGCCAGATCTTTATTTCTCTCATCGATAACATGAATCTTTTGTTTCAGTTCATTCTCGTGGTTCGTGATTATTGCACGTATACACTCAAAAACTGTTGTAATCTTTTCAATGGTAGAATTTTCATTGGTAATAGTCATTTGCATCAATTGATTCAAAGCTGATTTTGTTTTCGATAACCAATATTGTTGCTAAATGATAAAGAAAAATGGTGCTTTCATGAAATTCTTCCAAATAAAAAGTATTCCTGACCTCTTTTGCTTTCTCAGTTGCTGCATTATATATTTCAGTGCATGCGTGACCTTGGTGCCGCACAGCTATACAATCACGGCAAACAAGTGTCATACATGTGTCACACCAAAATTTTAATTTTTCATCAGAATGCACACTGCATTCAATGAACACTATTGGCTTCGAATCAATTGGTACTGTTACATGCGTTTTAAAAGCAGATCGTACATGAGCTACTTTGCAACATGATGAACAATAAGCAACTTCACATTTTTTACACCAAAGTTCAGCCTTCACTTTTGCACAGTCGTCGCACATCTGTTCAACTACGATGACACAAATCTATAATGTTTCAATCTATTCAAAATAATAATCTATATGTAACGAACGCCTAAAAATATATTCTTTTGCACGCGTCAAACAATTGTGTTCATTATACTATGCTGGTAGAGCTTTAACTACTAAATATACGACGATTCGACTGATGAGTAATCGTTGAAACATAATCCTCATTTATAATTTTTTCACACGAACTATCTATTTCAACTGCATCTTTTCAGTTTCAAGCACTGAATGTGCAAGTAGCAGCTCGACGAAGAGTTTATACAGGTTTTTGGCAGATTTCAGCGATAGAATTAATATTAGGAATAGTTTGTTTGCAGAAATAAAATTTCGATAATTTGTATGAATTTACCACGTCAAATGTCATTCCAAAGTTAACGACATTTTAAATGCTCCCATATTATAGACATGATCAAAATCAGTAGTTTGATCGCATTTTGTTAATAATCTGCCATAAACAATCGATAGTGAATTCAATAGAGAGACCGACAGGAGGAATACGACCTACTTCTTTTTTAAAACTAAAATATCGTACTTCTTATCCTCATTTGGATAAGCGAAGAGTTGGAAAAATCTATTATCATCACTCTCGACAGATTATCTTTGTGCATCACTTGTGCATTACGCTAAATTTATCAAAGAGAACTTAACAATAACACATATATAAGACAAACATTTAGCGGCAGACTCAGCTAGATCAGAAAAGTATGACGAATACCACAACCTAAAACAAGGGTGTCCTGAAAGTCATTGACCAAAAAGAAAATTGAATATCTCCACCATTTCCTGATCAAATTTGGCGATTCCTTTTTCATTTGAAGGAGGAGTGTTTCAAGTTTTCATTCATGAGCAAAAATTTTTATAACACACTTAAAACTATTATTATTCATTTAAAAGGTAAAAAGTTACATTTCAACCAAAGGTAAACGATCGATTTTGGATTTCTGTAACCTGATGCAAATTCAGTATATTCTTGAATTTTCTCGATTTTTCAACAATTTATTTGAATTCTTGAGTTTTTGCTAGCTCGCCTAATGTCTCAAGAACTTCACAAGATCCTCTCCAATGTTCTGACACATAAAACTCCTGAAAACATTAGCGACTAGAGTTAATGTGTGATAGGTTACTTCTATGGAGAGTCAAAAATGGCAAGGGTATCCGAAAACTTACCAAAAAATTCTATTTCATAGAAATTTTTCTGCTGATCATTTTGGTTAAAAAGATTCTATTCTCATCAAGAAATGACGGGGCTAGTTATAAAATACTGAAAAATGTCAAATAGTGCTGGACGGAGCTTGTCATTTTTCAGCATTTTGACTCTAGTACCAGAATTTCTTGATGAAAATAGAAAATTTTCTTTTAACCAAAACAAACAGCAGGAAAAGCTCTACAGAATAGGATTCCTCAATAATTTTTGGAGAGCTTCCTGTTTTTTGCAGTTCGCTACTGATGAAGATATCGGGAAAAGGTCAAATCTCGTATCTAATTAGATTAAGTTAGATTTCAGGTGTGTTAAAAAGCTGCTGATACATCAATGAAAACTTCGAACATTCCTCTTTGAAAAAAATAATAATTCACGGATTTGATTAAGAAATGGCGGCGATATTCAATTTTCTTTTTGGTCGATGACTTTCAGGACACCGTGTATATTCGTTAGAAAAATACTTCATAATATATAAATGATTAGAATATCATCAACGGACTATTTTTATTTTCGTTGCTTACCTGATTCTTCGTTGCTTGTTGCCATAAGGATTAGTTAATAATAATAATAATATGAATACTTTTCAATCTAGAATTAGTAAACATAAAGATACTACTTTTAGCCATTTAAACATATTCGTCTAAGTTTCGGAGCATATACGCATTGTTTTGTAAATGAAAAGAACTCATACCGTGTGATGTTCAGCTTTATTCGTAAAAGAGATAGATTGCATAAGGATAAAGTTGTGGGAAAATTTTATTGATAAGCACGGAAGTTAATCATAAATGTAATTTATATTTGAAATGCAATAAGTAGAAAAGAGAACCAAAAAGTATCTACTTCTAAATCAATATTAGAAACAGCAAATTTTATCATCCTAAGATTATTTCTTAAGAATTTGAGCATAAACTAAAAGATTATCGAAAAACTGAATTTATTATATGTACTGTAGACATGCTGTTAGCGCTCACGAGGAGCGACAAACACAGTTAACGAATGTGTTTATATTCTCTCTGTTTATTCTGTTAGAAAACAACCGTTTATATACGCACGCGAAAACAAGGACAAGAAAAATAGAG